TCGCAGCCCTACCAGGTACCGACTTCTCGAAGCAGCGGCGGCGGCGGTGGCGGCGGTGGCTCCTCCAAGTGGCGTGTGGGAGGAGGGCGAGCCGAGCTACGCGAGCGCAGGCTTCGGCCGCCGCTGTAGGCCGCGCAGGGCCCAAACGCTTCCTGAGCGAGAACGGAGGGAGGAGGCGGCGGCGGCGACCGTTGTTCTTCCTCCCCCTCCTCCCCGTTCTCTGCCCCGAAGCCTCCGAGGGGCCAGCTGGAGCCAAGGCTCGGCCGGGCGCGGAGGAAGCCAGAGGCCTAGGCCTCAAACGGGCCGCGATGGTGGGGGGGGGGGGGGGGGGGGGGTTGGAACGACCGCAGCATTGTTTTTCTTTTTTTCCCTCCTCAGAATTAAAAGGCTGTGGGCAAGTCACATCCTCTCAGCCTCAGGGGAAGGCGAAGGCAGAGCCTCCTCTGAAGAAATCTCGCCAAGAAAACCCCATGGTAATAGTTTTAGGGCCGGTATCACCGGGACCCTAAAGTGGGGAACGAAGCAGCTTATTAATTAAAACAGTACACTCGTTCTTACGCATTCGCTGGGGTTAGGGGCACAGGACCGCAAATAACAAAAACACTATGTTTTTATCTGTCAAATGCCTAGTGGAGTGTTCTCTCTAGGAATCTCTAGGTCCTTCAGTGCAACTTTTGGCTAAAGTTGACCATAGAGTTATGCTGGAGTACCTAAATATTCCTAGAGAGAACATACTAATAATCAAATCTGCAAAAGTCAAAGCCGCAAACATGGACAGATAAGTGTACAGTTAAAAAGATACAGAAGTACACACTAAAAGAGCAGCTTGCAATTTAAAAGATAGAAAAGTGCAAACTAAAATAGCGTTCAACTAGCAGCTTAGTGTCCCCAGTTTTAGGGTCCCATAGTAGCCTTAGGATCGCCATAAGTTGGAAAGGACTTGGAGGTACACAACACATACAAACACACATAATGCACTGCAAATTAAATCTGTATCTCTCCCCCCCTCCCATTCCTGTTGACTCCCCCCATTTGAAGAGAGGAAATGTAAGCTTCATAAATTCTAGGCTTTGGGTTGTGAACAAATCTGGAAGAGAATTGTAGTTCTCCAACCCTCTTCCTGTCTTGGGAGAAAATTGGGAAATTGGGAGAAAAAAAGTTGGCCTGTGAAAGTAATTGGGAATAGTGGGAGGAGGTGCAAACAACAAACCCCAAACTAAGTTGGGATTGTTTGACAATTGTACTTCTTTATCCCAAATGAGTGTCTATATAAAGGGGATTTTGACAACTGGAGGGCGTGATTGTCCATCCAGTGTAAACATTCCCCACAGAGAGGTTGGTGTTCTGAAGGCATGAAAAGAGCTGCTGACCAATGTGCTTACAGAATTGTGTTTTCAGTAGGATGCAGGGGGCTGTTGTTGTTAAATAAATGTACATTAGTTGTAATACATGCATTTTATATCCCTATGATACTTGGGCAACTGCTGGTCCCTCTTATGAACTGGTAGTCTCAAACATAGACCACAGCTAGCCTTGTTTCACAGAGGTCCTACTGATTAAAACCTAACCTCTCTGTGCACACAGTGGTTGGGGATTATATGGTCCCTGAAACCAGTATAAAATTCCCCATGCACTTACACGCTTAAATGTACTGAGGCATTTTTCATGGCAACTTTTGTTTTTTTCTGCCAAGGAAGGAATATTATGGTACTACACTTGTAGAGTACAATGTCTTCTAAAATAACAAATAGCTGTTAACATACAGGCACCTAGATAGGGCAATTACAATTGAACACTGGTAGTGTTGATAGTGTTTAGATGGTATAGTGTTTAGATGGTATAGATTGAAGAAAAACATGCTCAGCTAATTATATTTTGAGAAAGTCCCAGTGTTAGTGCATGAATGAAAGGCTCACTGTTGACATTGTGTGTGTTCATTCATTTCCAGCGTATGGTGACCCTTAGGTGAACTTACCATGGGGTTTATTTGACAAGATTTGTTCAGAGGGGATTTGCCTTTGCCTTCTGAGGCTGAGAGAATGTGACTTGCCCAAGGTCACCCAATGGGTTTCCATGGCCAAAAGGGGAATTGGAGCCTGGTCCCCACAGTTGAGTCCAACACTCAAACTGCTACACGAGCAGTTCCCAACCACTGCGCTACACCATGTTGGCTCTCTGAAAGACTTATTATTTATCTATTATTAAGTTCGCAAAATGATATTGCATTGGATAGGTTCTATACAGTTGTGAAACTGGTCAGGATTGTGTGGTTTATAGGCTGTTTTGAACTGCAGCTTTGCCATGTTGCAGTTTTGAAACATTAGTTTTGAAACAGATGTTTCAAAAGCGGTTTGGAGCAGTTTGGTGTACAACTGTGAGAGGAGTTAAAATTTGACTAGGCTAGCACAATCTCTGCAGTTACAAAATTGCTTTTTGGTTATAAGTGGTTATTTATCTGACATAATAGGAATAAAAATCTGGAGACAAAAAGTATTGGTTATAAATTCTGTATCTGCTCCCGACACAACTTAAAGTTCTGTATTTGTCTTGTAATTTCTTGCAGGCTCTTAAATACTCATCAAAGAGTCACCCCAGTGGTGGTGATCATCGGCATGAGAAGATGCGAGACACCACAGATCCTTCACCACCAAATAAAATGTTGCGGCGCTCTGATAGCCCTGAAAACAAATATGGTGACAGCACTGGACACAGTAAAGCTAAAAGCATGCATACTCACAGAGTTAGAGAGAGGGATGGTGGTGAGTTAATCTTAACTGAATTTTATTCAAAATACTGCTAGCTTGCAATGCATGCATCAGAATAAAGTCCATAATTCCCCAACAATATTTCATGCCAGTCATAACACTGCCAAAAGGAAATACAAAGATAGCCTTTTTGGTTCATTTGTTCTATTTGCTTAGACTGCTATAACAAGATGTTTGGCTTTTTCATATGTTACAAATAGAAGGCGTCCTAAATAAGTAGCCCAAGATTAAACAAGCTGTCTTTCAGTTCTCCATGTCATTTTGATGCGTGCAATGTATTTAACCTACATATATTGCTTTATAAAAGTTGGGATCATTCTAGTGATGATCTAAATTCGTTAATGGAAATGATCAGTTACTTTCTATTATTAGTTAGTAGTAGTAGTAAAATTTTATTCGGTCATTGACCAGCGTATTATTAGTTAAGTTACACAGAAGTCACACCAACATTGGCCATTCTAAAAATAAACAATTAGCATTCTTTAAAATTTATTGAAG